ATGTGCTCTGAATTTGACAAGAGCGTAATTCATAGCAAGTAGCTCTTTTGAATGAAAGGGATAGTTCTTTTCAGCAGCTTTCAGTTGCCGAGACTCGAATGCGTTCGCGTCCATCGACATCTGTTTGTAACAGAGCACTGCCTATGGCAAAGTTAGATGCGTCACAGACGACACTGAAAGGCCGGCCAGAATCGGACAAAGCCAATATTGGCGCATGAAGAAGACGCTCCTTAACTGCTTTAAAAGCAACATGTACGGTATTGCCCCAACACCAATCCACATCCTTTTTAAGGAGATTGGACAATGGCCGGAGCCAAATCTGCGTAATTCGCACTGTACTTATGTAAGGCAAGGCCAAGCCACTTACGCAAGTCCTTTTGGTTCTTGGAAACCGTCCAATCGACTATGGCTTCTGACTTAGCGGGATCCGCTCGAAGAACTCGCTTCCCAATAAAGCACCCTAGAAAGGAAATCTCTTCTGCACTAATGATGCACTTAGATGCGTTAGCATACAACTAAATCGTCCGCATGCACTTGAGCACCGCTCGTAAATGATCAATGTGGTTATCCACATCTGATCGCCCATTCATTGCAGGACTATGGAAAAAAATGTCATCAACATACGTTTGTGCACAGCCTCGATGAGGTCTGAATAATTGCGTCACCAGCCGGTTAAATGTAGCCGGGGCGTTAGATAGCCCTTGTGGCATAACGAGCCATTTCCAAAGCATACCGCTCGGAGTCCTCACCGCTGTTAGCGGAATATCGCTTGCTCGCATGAGCAGTTGGTAATAACCATCGACTAATTCGGGTGCACTGTACAGTGTACATCCCGCCATTTGTTCTGAAGAACATCCTTTCTAGGAATAGGCGTCTGCGCCGGTATAGTGGCTGCATTAAGCTTATTGTAAGCATGCACAATACGCCACTTGCCATTTGGTTTTTTGACACAAAACATCGGCGTTGAATGGGAAGACTTGCTTTCACGAACCATTCCAGCCGCGTGCTTAGCACGAAAGAATTCGTCAATGACGTCACACTGTTCTTTAGGCAAAGGCCACTGCCGTGTTACACAGTATTTAGTTCCAGGAACTAAGTCAATCTCATGACGTACACCTCTATCGGGAGGTAAGGCAGAAGGTGGGTTGTGATACACCACATCTTGAAATTCCTTAAGTAAACGATAGAACGGATCCAAAGGATCTTTAAGGATCGAAGATCCACTTCGTGCACTAATTGCCGCCTTTGTATCCTCTAGGACAGAGTCATCCATTAACGAGGAAGAATTCAACTCAGTATCAGGTCTATTGACCGCTAACTCGGATAACTCTCCTGCCTTCGAGGCCTGGCTAAACTCGCCATCAGACATTTCGTCTAGCTCACAAAGAGCGTCCACAGATGGAAGGGTTTCAAGGCAAACACTGCCATCAACCTGAACAGTCACTCCATTAACAAGTGTATATAGTGTATTACTATTATCGCTATGTGACTGTAAGGACGCCTGGCGCTTTAAAGTTGCTTCCCGGCGTCTCGATCGTCTCTTCGAGACCTTACACCCCTTAGGGGTCGGGACAATATTGTCCCCATGGTTACTACCAGCCATAGTACGCTCTGTACAAGAGCTTTTGTCTTGACCGACATCCGGTGAAGTGTTACAAAACTCGAACACTTCACCCAGTGGATTGAAATGTGCCACTCCACGTTTATTATGCGGGCCTAGCCACAAATTTAACGGCGTCTCGCCAATAAGGTCATTACCAACATTAGGTGTGGTGCCATTACGGCCGCCCACACTAAATGGCGTATCGCCACCAACGCCATTACCAGCGTTAAGCGTGGTGCCCTCACGGCCGTCCACACTACACGGCGTATCGCCAACAATATCATGATTGAAATTAGGTGTGGTGCCCTCACGGCCGCCCACACTATACGGCGTATCGCCAACAACGTCATTACCGACGTTAAGCGTGGTGCCTTCACGGCTGCCCACACTAAATGGCATATGGCCAATAGTGTCATTACCGACGTTAAGTGCGGTGCTCTCACGGCCGACCGCAATTGGTGTAGTTTCACGTGCCACCACACACACATCAAAGAAATCACATCCTTGATCACTTGGCCCTAGGCCAACCATGCTTTCAGCATACAGTGACTCATTATCACAACGAGTACACTTAACGGAGTACGTGCCGTTTCACTAATTTTAGACGAGCTAGACTCGAAACTAATGCTTGTAACATTGGAGTTAGATAACTCGGACATTCCAATATCCAGCACATTGACATCTTCTGTCAAAAGCTCGCGCCAATAGCGCTTCTGCTGCCTAGCAAAGGTGGGTTCATGACTCCCCAAAGCTTCGCTAGGAACATTGCGCGTAGCGCCTAAGGTCTTAGACCTCCAATCAATCCATGGCTCATGGCGCTCAAGCCAAGCCATACCTAGGATGAGATCATATCTCGAGTCCAAATCTAGGACAAGACAGCGCTCAATACTGTCAAAGTCTAAAAACTTTATACCTAAGTTCAATGGAACTTTAGGCACCGTTACACAACTTTTAGTCGCTAAACGAACCGTGATAGAATCACCCTCATGCGCTGTAAGCGCCTCAGCATAACGCTGACTTCCCTCAAGGGAACGGCGTCGAGCATAATTGCAAGACGCTCCAGAATCGATGTATATCGACCAAGGCTTCTCAAAGCCCTTAATTTTCGCCTTGGCGACCAGCAAGCCAGACTTGTATCCACGCACCATACCCGTACGTACGGTACTCTTTGGGGCTAAGCCCTGCCTTCCTTTACCTTCTAAACATGTAACAGAACCTAGTTCTTCCTCAGTAGGGCGCCCCGCGCCTACTGGGTTTCGGCATTTCCCCGTGCCATAATAGACTTCTGACTCGGGGTCGAGCTTTGGTTTGTAGCCTGGCGTTGCTTACGCAAAGGGCAACCAAGCCGCAAGTGTTTAGTGCTTCCGCACGTAAAACATCGTCGTACGACGTGCTGAAACGCAGCAGAGCTTGAAGCTCAGCTTCACCTTCATCTTCAGCATAGCTGAGATCCATCGGTCCCGGCCTATTATAGGCAGTGGTACCCGAAGAGTTTGCTCTCACAGGGCGAGGATTGTACCCTTTCCAACCAAGTCTGGCCGACTTGAAGTTATGCTCAGTACTGGGATAGGTTTTCATGGCCTCTTCGAAAGTAAAGGGGTGAACCCTAAAAACTTCGGTTCTGGCAATGCCAGTGTGAAGACCTTCTATGAAGATAGTCACATGGACTGCTTCAGGCAGAGGGTCTGACTGCATTGCAGCCAAGAGAGTTCCCATCTCTTGGACATAGTCCGATAATTCATTCTTACCCTGACGGTAGACTAAAGCGTGAATGCGCGCGGTATGCTTAGATCTGGTGGTAAGAACACCTGTACCAATTGTGACTTAAGCGAATCCCCTTTGGGGAATGCTAAGTCAACCTATGTGCTACACGTCAAGGCCCATTCTCTAGCTCTTCCATCAAGCTTTGAGATAGCCAGCGAGAGCTGTTGATGGTCAAGCTTGATCAGGACTGATCTCATGGCCATCTTTATCTCACGAATCCAGAGGATGAGGTTTTCACCCTCCTTACCGGAGTGATTCTTAATTATCATTCTAAGTGGACGAGGCCAACCTCTTCATCCGGTACAGACATAGCGTATAGGCATAGCCGACGCTACTTGGTCTTGGAACTGCCCTAGAAGGGTCGCTTCATACAGCACGAAGCCTTCACCACGTGTATTTAGCACCTCAGGGCCTTGTGAGACAAAAAACTTCGTGTACTCTGGACTTAAAGATGCGGTCAGCTTATCAAGCGCGACCTTTTGGGCCGCAGAGAGGGAAGTGGGGTTTTCATCCTCACAGAGGATCAGTCTAAAAGACTCAGGCGTAGATTAATACGAGTGCTACCAAGTGTAGCGAAGCTACACAGCTCGTTAATTCAGAGGAAGACTTAGCGCTTAACGAGCAACTTAGTTCTAAAGAACTAGACTCAATGAGTCAACAAGCGTAAATCTTATGGTCTTGGTTTCAAAGCATTAAACGATTCAGTGAATCGACAGCACTTGGTGCTCAATAGTAACAAGCTACCTCAAGGAGGTTTTGCTAACTTTTAGTGATCAGTGATCAACGACCAAAGACGCCTCGCAAGGCACGTGTCTTTAAGATCAAAATGACAACTGCAATTTATTTACATTCAAACCTACAGAATATCTTAATCCTAATCTAGACACTTGCTTCCTAAGTTAGTACAACTAAGATCTCCCCTATCTGGTGGCTGACACCAGTCAGCCCCTATAAACCGATAAGCTATTCTATATCTCTTTCAGTGGAATATCACCCGTTTGTCCAAGACACAGGGTACCGAGTACCCAACTACGTGTAACCCCTGTACACCAAATAATGCCTTGTTACACTTACCGCATCCTGCATAGCCCACAGGCACTTGACATTATTTTACAAAGATGTACAATCCATACCCGAGCCGCGAACCATTAAAATCCCAAACGTCAAATTTCAAGTGTTGACGCAATCCTCTGGATTAAAATACCTCGTAAAACGCAATCCCAGCGCTCGCTGAATGATCCAAATAGCGATAAAACCTGTAAAGAACCGGATGAAACCGCAATAATTGGGGGAAAAGTTTAAGCTCCTTAAATGTGGCACTACGTAGTAAAAACTGTTAATATCTCGGTCACTCCTGTTACAAATAGTTAAAATTCTACGGGGCTTTTGACCAGCATCCCACCCATAGACGGTGCATCTCTTTATTCACCGCCAAAGGACCAGCAATTAACCAGCTGCTGATGCAGTCTTCCACTCATCATCGTCATCCTGAGGCAGCTAGAAATCCACTCATTGTTGCAAGACCTCAGTCGCCACTTAATATAAGATCAACCGACGCGACGCCTTCTATCGACTGCCTGCTCGGCGTAGGCAACAACTCCTAGAACCGCTGTCTGTCGCCTGACGAATTCAAATGCAACCTCCTCAAAAGAACAGTCTCTTTCTTCTGCTCGCGCTCATCGCGTCCGCTCGCTGCGGCGCTCTTTTGGCTCCGTCAGATGGACAGCTACTTCGGCAGACAAGGGCGAACGATGACCTGGCCCCCCAGTCGGAAGAGGACGGCGAACGGATGCTCGACGTGTCAGCCGGTAGCCCTCTGTCCATACAAGCGAGATTTGCGTGGCAGAGAGTTGTATCTCAAATGTTTGACGGTCATGAGCATGTCAGAAAGAGCTACCAGCCAGTATTTGCAGACGATCACTCTGGCCTTATCCTTTTAGACCATATGAAACTCGAGCGCGAAAAAAAAAAAAATTTACAGGATGAGCTTCTGTTGCTTCAAGGCAAAGAACCCGGCAATGGACAAGACAACCAACCCGCCGAGAGCGTTGATAAACGAGAATCAACACTCTTCTCGTGGATTAAGAAAATGTTTAAGACGTCACGCCAAGACAATGCACGCGGCGAAGGCTCGGAAGCGAAGAAGAAGAGTTTTTTCAAGAAGCTGCGTCCAGACAAAGGACCCAGATCGACGCATTTGAGGGATCAAGGCAAAGAACCTGGCAATCCTCTCGGCAAAAAACCTGGCAATTCACTTGACAAAGAAGTTGGCAAGGATCCCGGCAATGTACACGGCCGTAATTTCCGTGAGTCCGTCAAAGCAAGCGTCGGAAAACCGGAACCAACGAATGTCTCGAAGACCAAGAAAGGTTCTGCGGTGTTTGGTCAAGACACAGAACCCGGCAATGAATCCGTCCATCCCGTCGTCCAATCTATAAAGAGACCGGTCCAACCCGTCAAAGAATCCTTCCAATCCAGCAAAGAACCCGGCAAGAACTCTGAAGCAAGCGTTGAAGGGCCAAAACCAAGATTTGCTTCGTGGATCAAGCAAGGCGCCGGCGCTCTGAAGATGACGATTGCTAACGTCATCACAAGGCTCTGGAATTTCTTAACCTTTTGGAGGAAGTAGCAGCGGCTGTTGAGAGGGTGATGCAGAAGAAGAGGGAAGCACGAGATGTGTGGCTGATATGATGTCGCTACGGTGACCGATTGCTGCAGCCTTGAAGCTGGACAACCGTAGACCTGGATGCATTTCGAAGTGTGACGAGCTCCTGAGCTTTGGCGGTTTCTGCGGACTTTGAACGCTACTGTGTTTGTGTGGATCGTTTGTGCTAGCGTGAAGGTGCCATGGATTGACGTGCGTTGCTTCGGACTCGAGAATGTTCACCTGTTTTCCCATCAAGGATGAAGATAGTGGTGATGAGGCGAGTTTTGGGTCATTGAAGATAATCGTAGTCTTTGTCGCTGTTAATGTGCATTGAATAAGCATCCATGATACTTCGAATGTCTTGTATTGTCATGCCTGCATAATACACAGCCTTTTGTTGTAAACGAGAAATTGTCCTGGGGTGTCGCACCTGACACTGTATTTTAAATACAGAAGCAAGAAGGGATGCGACTCTCTTCACTTGCGAGCCTTTATACAGCATTTCATCAACCTCTCTACGATTTTGGCCAAAGAACGCAGCATTGGTATTGTGTTTAGTGCTTCAAGGGATCGCTTATGTTGTGTTCTTGCTGCTTAGTGCTGATCATCATCTCCTCTGTGTTGATCAGTCTTTTGTCTGATTACATCAGAGTCCGCTATTGAGGTAGGGAAAGGACACATCTAAATCAAGTAGAGGTCATAGACAGAAGAACAAAAATTACGTAATGAGTCCACTTTGGACAACGCCTTCTTAGTACAGCTGCAACCGTACCATGGCCGCTAGCAGCGCGATAACGTTTGTTCATGAAGTGGCTTTTCTCATTGACTGCAATCAACGTAACAACTGTCGCTCATCAGCAGCATCGCCTCCCCACTTCTGCTTGTGGTAATGTACGCCGAGTGCGAACCCTAGCTGACATATCATTCCAGCCGAAAAACTTTGTAATAGTCGGATACGAAGCGATGAGCGGTATTCGAAGCCTTCGTTGACGTCGTGGAAAATGTGCAACGGTTCGATTGAAACACATTTGCTGCAAGCTTTACCACGATTTCTACGTAACAATCCTTCGCACATTGTAATCAGGTAATTTGTTCTAACAACACGAATCATTTAGAGCTTTGTCGGACTCATGACAAACAATCTGAAAGCATAGTCGAGTGTATGGTGTGTCCGACATATCTTTGCAGTGACTCGCAATACCACAGATGAAGTCGGTCAATGCAGTGTGTGTGTGGTTTCAGTACTACTTGATACACCGATGTTGTCACCAGGCTACCGTGGGTCAATTGATCGATATAGCAATCAAAGAGCTCGAGAATTTGATGTGAGAGTGACACTACCTTAAGGTGTTTAGACCCGATACACGTAGCTGCGACAGACATCAGCACCACATATTTGCTAGTTCTTCTCGCATAAATGTAAATGATTGCGAGCAGTAAGGTTTCGGAGAAGCCGCGGTACTAGCCCAAGTGGCGTACGGCGAGGCATTCTCTTCCACACCAGAAACGTTAGATGATAGCAACTTGAGCACACTATAAACCAGCGCGAATGGTGAAGTTAGCCATTCGCTGGCAGTAACAATTTCTTCAGTCGGTTGTCAAATCCTACAGATGAGAGTGAGAATTTGTCTGCGATGAAGGTTACAAAGTAAAAAATGTCCTAGTGTGCCGCATGAAGTTATACTTCTTCGTCGTCCAAAAATGATGTACTCCGCATACCATGACATCCTCCAGTCTGCAATGGTGGCTGATACCGTTTCCGAGACACATCGAGTCTTGGAATGATCAGTGAAGTATATCTTCTATTCTCAATCTAGACGCAATTAAATAGCGGCGTTCTTGGAAACAATACATCCTGCTGTCGCTGTACTCCCGATCAAAATAACTAGCCGACTTATGAAAGCAATAGATGATCCAACTGTGGTATCTTGATACCTTTTGGAAATCAGTTGAGCAACTATTCTCGCATCACTCGAACCTCATACGCATCGTTAATATCGCAAAACGTTGTATATCCATTCCTTAAACGCTCGAACTACGATGATAGATGCAGTGCAGGACACTCACATATAGACTCTTGCGACTGAAGAGGGCTACACAACGATAAAGTGTACTCCGGCGATCGATAGCATTTTGACGATGGAGCGTTTGTAATAGTCAGTGCTGTTCCATCGATATCGTAACTCGATGCAACTAAAACGGACTCAATGCTGGGAGCTCCACACGAAGCAATACAGGTGAACAGCTAGTTGCTCGTATTGTATTCGCAATAGCAAGTCTCAGGTCTAGCAATGTTGACAGTTGGCCAACTATCTGATTTTGTGCTCCCGTGGTATTACGAAGCAGCATACTAGTGTATAAGTCAGCTAAATTACAGCTAGGTCCTAAAAATAACCTCTCATAATCAGTTGCGATGTAAGGGTGAATAACTCCCCTCGTTAGTGACGATGTCGTCCATCGGTTTCCTAGCGGTATCGATCCACCGGACCAGTGAGCTACCGCATATAATTTGCTGTCTTCGGTGTGCCGCAGCTTATGTTGGTAGTTAAGCTGTCATACCGAAATCTCCTTTCTGATTCAACGCCTTAGCTGCCAGGTTTAGCAGTTATAGTGTGTGATTTGTGTAGTAACACTGAGTTCTACAGATTTCCTGATTTTGTTAGCGCAGGGTTGAACGGGTCGCCCGTTACATGGAATTGACACCAATCGGTGTCAATAAGGAGATTGTCTAGCGTGACAATATTCTACCAATGTTATCCGAGATGGATAGTATAGAAGGAACATTATTCCCCTCAGATAATGTTCATGCGCTGCTCCAAGATTGGTTGATGTAAGGCATATCAATCATAGATTGCCACCAATCGCTGCTAGACGCGCGCAAAGAGTGGTGAGCAGATTGTCGTCATACGACAATGTAGATTAATATAGATGGATAATGATTAAAGTTATATCGATAGATTAGCTGTATTAAATACGGTTTCCTTTTGCCTTTTACTCAATCTAGCTGTTTGAGTAGATTAGCTTACTCTGCACGTACTAGTGTACGTGAAGTTTCGTGACACCCCAAGCAAAGGGTGCCCCGTTACACAGTGTTCAAAATTGTTACTTACTAAATTGGATAAGCCACTGATGATGCATCCAGGTGGGGGGCCGCAACGCGTCTGACGCGCTTTTTCGAAGGAAAGCCTCTTATCATGCTTTCCTTTTTCAACGGCTTATGCTCGAGTTGATGAAGACACACACTGTCGACGTAAACGTCATCTAGGATACCGAGCTTGGAGGAGCGCTCTATCTTACAAAATGCCGTGCTTGTCATTAACACACAGCTACTTGGGCTGTTGTAAGTGCCGAAACCTACCACTCTTGTCGTATGGTGACTAAATCTATCCAGTCCACTCGCAATAGAAGCTTAAGAGTAAAAGGGAAGATCAATTATGCACTTATCGATTATAAGATCGGCGCCACTAGTACATTCACTCGTATTCGACATGCATGCGCCAGAGTAGATAAGGAATGTGAGTTGTGTACGCATTCCTGGTTGCTGCAGATATTCAAAGATTGTTCAATTTTGTCATTTGTACAAGGACGAATTCATACGAATCTGTTATATATTTATTAATGGTTGAGGCTGCCAATTGCCAAGATATTAAACTGGTCCTTCATGTCACTTGCAAAATCGCTTACGATGTAATTGCTCCAAATTGACTTCGAAGAGATATTCGCGCTCTTGACTAAAAGAAGCAATCTTGAATGAAGCAATAGTGGTTCGTGGGGATCGTTAGTATATTTTAAAGGGGAGTTAAAAGTTTGATTAAATGTGAACGACGATTTACACGACAGCATTGCTAGGTACTGGCGCAAGCAAATTAATTAGACATACATTAACGGTTTGTTTCGATCCGTTAATCGCTCGAAACGATGAAATGGCTGACATTATATATCAGTTACATACCTCAAAAGAAATTTAGTATTCGGCTCAATTAGGGACAATACGGGACCGACCCTACTGTTTAAGTGACGGTTTTTATTACATCGACCGGTCAAGAGACCTAAAGCGACCATTGTTGACCAGGAGTGGCCAAAACAATTAAATATGGTGTTAGCATAATATTTTAGTTAACACGACTACGGCGCTAATATCTTCTACTCTCGGCCCCGTGTAATATCGTATATTCATAGTTTCTTACACTGCTCCGTCACTCTTTATACGAATATGAGAATGTACTTTAGATATGTGTAGGTGTATTATACGGAAAAAAGCACCCAGTGCGTGTTAACTATCGCGATTTCGAACCCAATGGCCCACGACTTCACAAGTGACGCAGTGCGTGACGCACTCTCGGCGTTGACAACAACACGCGCTGCTGCCAGCAGCGAGATTGAAGACTCTCCTCGCATAGATGACATGCTTTACAGCATGCAGATATCAATAGATTGGGTAGAGCATCTCGAAAGAAGGATGACTCACGCCCCAGCGGCTCAATTACAAGAATCAGTCCAAACGATGGAGGAGATGAAACTGAAGAACTTCGATCTTTTAGGAATTAAGATAATCATGCAAAACGCGAGTCTCAACATTTAGCGTCGCCAGTTTCCTCAAGAGCAAGAAGCTTATCGCATGGCATACCCCCGAGAGCAGCAGCAGCTATATCGTGAGGCCCAGCGCCAAGAACGTAAGGAGACTGAGATGCAGCAATGGATCGCTCATCAAGCGAAATCAAGGAAAGAGGTTGCGATGCGGCAAGCTGCCGATTATTTTGCTAAGCGAAAAATTCAAGGCGAGGGCGAGCTGAAGCGGCATCAGTGAATCGCATCTGAGGCGAAATAAGCTCAACAGCAGCAACGTCTGATTGCACTCGAAGAAGGGAACGCCCGAGAACGAACGACTCTGCAGGAGAAGATACAAAGACAGCTAGGGGTCCAAAAGAGCTTAATGCCCAAGCCCGCGAGGTCAGACAGGCTAGGTGTGAGGTCCAAAGACTTGAACATTAAGTGCAGCATAACACGATGATAACTGGAGATGATGTAGAAGTGCGGGTGAGATCTACCGCAACCTAGCATCGTTCTGTTCTTGCTAAGATAGATTAGAACGATGCATTCCATAGTATGGTATTGCTTTTTTACAGTGGTTTCAGATCCACCGCAAGCATTGCTATCGATACGGTCAATTCTATCACAGTCTCTTGAGCATCCACGCTTCAATGAAATTGCTGCGCGCGCACCACCAGACCGAGATCAAATATTGTCATGAGTAACTTTGATGGGTCTAAAGTCTACAGTGGCCTTTGAAGTGGATTCAATACGTGGATTAAAGCTTTCTGCGAAGAAATAGATATCGGGAAAATGCAATTGGATACTCGTGAACGAGCAATTTTAGGTATCTAAGTTTGGCACGTTTATGAGAGTAAAAGCCAAGACGATTTATCGCTTTTAGCTCGATTATTCGATCTCAGCAAACCCGACACTAGTTTACGTAATTACACATATGGCTGCCATGTTCACTGCTGTATTAACAACGACGCAGTGTGCTAATCTGTCTATAACGCGCAAAGCGAAAGTATCGTCGTGGTACGACCACTACCTATATTTGGTTACTGCAAAGGACCCCAACGGTGCCTCAAAAGCATTGATCCTCAAGAGCTTCGTAAGGATCGTGTCAGCATCGATGCGGTCAATGCTTTTTGTACAGTTTAAATCGTACCGAACGGACTATGCAGTACACACCCATGAGCTCACGCAATTGGCGCAAGAATTGGATGATTTTTTTTTAATGCTGAAGGAATTGGAAATATGGTGGCGAATAGAAATGCTGCAGCTACGGGAGACGTCGCAGAGGAAGGTTGTGCTGCGGAGATGAAGCACAATGAAGACAGAGATGCTATTATTGCAAGAAAAATCGGACATCTCGAGAACGACTGCCGGAACAAAGTTTGGGATGTGGGCAGCCAAGGAGAGAATTTTGGATTTTCAACCATGTGTCGTGCGGCCTTGTCACTCGCAATTAGATTATCGATAGCTGTGCCAGTGTGCATCTTGTTAGAGACCAATTGATGCTCACTTAAGTTGTGCAATGCGCAAAGCGATACAGACTCCCTGAAGGTGGACAATCGTCGATTACGCATCGCAGTCCAGCGTTGGTGGCTGTAAACATTAACGGAAAGCGCCAGAGGCTAAAGATCTCGGATGGGTACTTACACCGAACATTTAAATAACTTGATGGGTATTACTCTGGAGAAGGGTTGACAGCTTTCGATGGTGAACGGGAGGCACGCAGTGATGTTAGGCATAGTACCCGTGCTGCTTGTTGAGATCAAAACCAGCATTCTTGTCATTGACTGTGGATTGGAAACAGACAAACCATATCAAGCATAGAACATCCACAATCTATTTTATCTGTCGTGGAGAAATTTTTCACAATTTCAGCGTGAAAATCAAATAGAATTTTTTGCTCATTTATGTCATTAGTTTAGTTATTTGTCATGCAACACCGTGAAAAGAGTTGCTGCAACACCAGGATCAGGCATCGAGATGGCCGATTGAAACCGCCCGATGTGTGTTTCGTGGTCAGGAGGAACAGTTACAGAGGATCACCAATCAGGGCGCGACACCGAAGTAAACGCACCGATAGACTTTACTGAAGGCATCATTTGCTGTGATCTTAAAGGGCCAAAATGCCACATATCGAAGGATATTCGCTACGCGGTAAATTTTTCGATTAAAAATATATTTTTCTGCTTCATTGTGTCATAGACAAAAAAAGATTGGGCAAAGCAATTTTAACATTTGTTCCCCTTTTTTATTGGCGGTTTTGTAACGGGGCACCCTGAAGCTTGTACTGGTGACAGTACAAGCTACTTATTCTGATGACAGAATAAGGCGGTGCCTCGTAACTTCACGTACACTGGTACGTGCAGAGGAAGACGGTAAGAAGAAGCGAGTACTTGGTTAGAGTAAAAAGTAGAACTGCATTTATCATAGTTAATGTCTGCAATAAATCCCTATTTACCTTCATCTAACTATGTCTAAATCCAAATGTGTAAACCAGTTATCTGCTCACCACTCATTGCGTGCGTCTGTCGTGTCGCGTCTTCGTTGGTTGATACAATGGCCTATATCAACCAATTAGGAACTACTTGTAAGTGCTACAGAAAATTTGTTCTTATGACAATATTCTGAGAATATAACTCTTATAGTTATATTCTATTAACAACTTCTTATAAATTGTTATGTAACGATTCACCCCGTTACATCACCCCCCCTTAACCATCACTCACTTTAGTGACTGATTGACTAAATGGATACTCGTCCCAAATCTTTTGGGACTGGGTTTGCACTTGTTGGTCCGAGTCCACTTTCCAACATCTCATCGCATGGTTGACAAGCCCATGCGATGCGCGAGCAAGGCCACCGAGAGCGCGTCCGCACGTCTCTGTGCGGATGCCGAAGCAGAAACCACAGCAACTGATGTCTCATCGGTTGCTGAAGTGACTCAGCCTGTGTCACCTGGTGATGCAGGCGCTCGTCATGAAGACACTCATGTCTTCACAGAGTATGAGCTCGTAGTCTCATACTCTCCTGATACGGAAGACGGATCCGTATCGACGGCGATTGAATCCAAGCCGCCTGCCAAGAGTGGCATGGACGATGCTTTGCGCCGCAGCATCTTTGGTTCATCTGATGAATCAGATGAACCATCGCCGAAGCGAAGGCGCTCGAGGTCGCGAGACTCGGGCGCTAATAGTGGCGTCGGTTCTCCAATGGACACCACTTCGCAACGAGGTGCCAGTCCTTCTGTCGGCACGTCGCAGGAAGAGCGGGACCGCAATGTCTTGCGTCTCGCTCCTGAGAAGAAGTCATGGATACCTCCCAAATCCGTCATGGATCACTTGTCGGCAACGACGAGTGGTCGTTATCACTCGTCGTTGCCGTCAAGGATCCATCATCTTGACCCCAGCGCGAAAAACTATCGCGCTGAACATGAATTCTTCATCGATGCTTTCTTTAGACATCGAAGGTACAGTGGGAATAACAAGCGTGACGGTCCTTCACTGCTTCAAGCGTGGAACCCCTACATCCATAACCTTGAGGATGTAGGTCGTGACGTTTGGAACGACAAACTTATCAAAGCTCGTGATAAGTTTGAAAAGCGAACCCCGACAGGTGCACGCTACAAGCTGCATCGTCTGTCAAGGGAGAAAGGATTACCCTGCCTCTCATGGGGAGACTCGTGCCCATGTTGTGTGAACAACTCTGCACGAGCACCTAAGGGGGCTTACCTCCTTACTAGCCCGTGGTGGCGCGTACGTATCTCTACTGAGATGTAAGAAGGGATTGACAACCTGAAATCCCTTTACGACCGTGCCGGGAAGACTTTCTCCGGCGGTCCTTCTGCGGCACAGGATGTGCCGCGTCGTACTGCTCGACCAGACCCAGTACGTCAACCATCAGTTGGGAGCGGGGCTCCCAAGTATCCCAGGACGGGGGATAGCCGCGCCACCGGACGAGATAACTCGTCCGACGTCCGTTTACGTCGCGGTGGTTCAACAGCTGCTCAACTAGATAGCGCTGGCCACCGCGAGAGTCCTCTAATGGAGGTGGAGGAGGAGGAAAGACGCTCTCCGCAAGATCGTGGGGATCCGTGTGTTCCCGCGAGCTTCTTTGATCGCGTAACGCAAGGGTTGCGCGGTGATCTCGAACATGAGCGGGACAGGCGTCTCCAAATGGCGGACACTGTCTTGAAGCATCGAGCTGAATTGGCTTTGCTCAGCTTCAGAACGAGAGAGCTCTGACGTCTCTTCGTGACGAGCTAAGGGTAGCTCGTGGGATTGCTGATCGGTCTCGGGATGAGATAACTGCTCTCCAGACCCTTGTCGATGCCCATCATCGGGAGCACAAGGCTCTCTGCGAGATGCTTGAGCGCAAGGGCGTTCTTCATCGGAAGAAGCAGCGTACTGATGGTACGGCTTCAGCCGACCAACGTAAAACGTGGGATGCTTTCGCATCTTACGTGGTAACTCGATCGTGTATGCATTGCCTAGGCGGTGCAATACACGAAATGGGCCAATGTACTTGGGTAGTAGTTTACTGCTACCCAAGTTAGTCACTACACGCTTTGGTAGATTAACCGTAGACAGTAGGACTAAGTCACCTTTATTAAGTAAAAGAGTGTTTGCCCTTCCATTCTTGTCAGCGTTTTGCTTTTTCTTATCCACCGCTTCGGCGATGGAGTCTTGCACAAAACGGACTACCGTTTCACGAGCCAGTATGAACTCATCTGATGACTCGTTAGCTTCAGTGTGCTGTGAGCGCACTGCAGAGACATCAATCTTTTCTTCAGTGAGGGCTTCCGCACTCTCACTGGGATCATCTACTTCAGTGAGGGCTTCCGCACTCTCACTGACATCATCTTCTTCGATATCGATGTTATCGATATCGGCATCAAACGCAATGACTTCTTCGTCAGAGCGTGATGAGTGTGAACCAATTCGGTTTTTGCTCGCGCGAGTCCCTCCCCCCCCTTAAACCAGAGTTACACTCTAGTAAGGTGGGTACACGCGGATGGCGCAAGCCATTCACGTAAAACGGTGTATGTGTCGTGGACGCATGCACCGAGTTGTTGATGGAAAATTCTACCATTGGCAAGAACTCACTCCAACTCTTAAAGGAGTGTACGTATCCTCGAAGTATCTCTTCAAGGACACGATTGGCACGTTCCGTCTGACCATCTGACTCTGGATGATCAGATGTTGACATCTTCAAGCGCGTTCCGAGTGATTTGAACACGGAACGCCAGAAATCAGCAGTGAA